AGTAACGGAAGTTACTCTAATTTGACAGAAATGAGATATTGTCCTTGAATTGCTTCAAATTGAAACTACAGGGACAAAATTGACCAAATTGAAACAACAGGGACCAAAGTGGTAAAACAGACAAACTACAGGGACCAAAAGTGACCTTTTGCCTTTTTTATATATAAAATATTGATTTTGTTTTTTAAGTTTCAATTTTTTAAATCCAAACAATAATGTAGTCATTTTCTATTTCAATGTACTTTAAAGAAAGTTATTGCCCACTTTTTTCAAAAAATAATAAATCTTGTTAGTATATACATTATTGTAAAAAAAATATTTAAATGAAGTTGTAAAAAAATTATAAATAAAAAAATGCAATACATAAGTCAAATTTGGTATGGGCCCATCTCGGCCCGTTTAATTGCCCAACACGAACATGGTCCTAGTTCATATGGGCTTGGGCCATAAACTCGGGCTGAAATTAATAATTTTTATAAATGAACAAACTTAGTATGACCCATTTATTAAATGAACTGACTCTAAACAAGTTAGGCCAACCTGATTTGACACATCTACTTGCATATATTATTATGTATAATGTACTCTTACATAGAAAGGAGGGCCAGAAAAAAAAAATTAAAAAGGTAGATTAAAATATTTAAATGAAGTTGTAAAAAAATTATAAATAAAAAAATGCAATACATAAGTCAAATTTGGCATGGGCCCATCTCGGCCCGTTTAATGGCCCAACACGGGCATGATCCGCGTTCATATGGGCTTGGGCCATAAACTCGGGCTGGAATTAATAATTTTTATAAATGAACAAACTTGGTATGACCCATTTATTAAATGAACTGACTCTAAACAAGTTAGGCCAACCCGATTTGACACATCTACTTACATATATTATTATGTATAATGTACTCTTACATAGAAAGGAGGGCTAGAAAAAAAAAATTAAAAAGGTAGATTAAAAAAAGAAAATAGAAATTATATGACATGCCAAAGACATATTTTTATTTTTTGGAAAATACTGGTAGTTAATTTAAACCAAATGCTCCTAACAAATAAGCACCACTTGCTTTGCGTGTGCGATAGACATTTTTAATTGTATTTTTTTTTACAATTGTATGTCCAAAGAGACTTAAATATTGAAAAACTTCTAAAATAATTGGAAAAAGAAAGAGAAAATTTTATAAGATGCGAGTAGCGTGCGTAATTAAATAAAGTTTGCACTAGTATTTTTTTTAACGAAAAATGGCTTTAGATTTTCATTGGTGAGATACAATATTGACCGATTCAACTAAATTATTTTCCCGACGACCAGATTGAATTTTAGTATAAAATTTAAAGATAAAAAGGTTTTGAATTGTTAAAACATAGTAATATATTAACTTTTAGTTAACAAAAAAGTTTGTGTTGAAAGTTTTATTTATTTATTTATTTTCCAAATTCCAACAATAAAAATTATGATAGCCACGCTCACACGCGCGCTATCTGGTACAACATTTTTCACAACAGTTAATCCTAGAAGGCACAAAACTAGGGGTGGCTGCGGTGTGCTGCAAATCGCAATCCACCCCAATGGAAGTCTCCGCAGCTGCAAATCGCAATCCACCCCAATGGAAGTCTCCGCAGCTGCAAATCGCAATCCACCCCAATGGAAGTCTCCGCAGCTGCATTGAAACAGTTGTGAGAAATAATGAGTTAATTAGGAGAGGTTACATAAACCAGAACATAATATATAAATGAGTAGATTTTTTCCCCCCTATCTTTGCAAATCTCCAACAAAACCAACTAAATTTTAGACCCTAGTTTTAAGGCGCCGCTCATTTCATGTAGTGCTATGAACTCTAGAGAGAAATGTATGAACCTAAAATTAGAAAAAGAAAAACATTTGAGAAAATTTGACACCATGCATGAAACTAAAATTGGATAGCTTATTGCAAAAGCGGTTTGCATTCCTCATGTGTACCAACTAAAATTAGAAGAATTAGTTACTCACTCTTTCCCAATGCCATTTACAAATGAGAGGCACCGCCAAAATGGCTTTTGCAAACCCATTTACGTACCTAACTCTATTGCGGCCATCCCTTTTTTTATACTCTTTCTTCAAACCCAAGAAACCTCCACATTCCCTCATTCATAACCCTAAGCGCCTCCGGCTAAATTCCTATCACACTAGCAACCATTGTTTTGGCTCTCTTCTCAACAGCCCGCCATATCTGAACCGGCTCAGAAAATGGCTCGAGCCGTGTTTCTTGTATGCCTCCTCTCCATAGTAATGTTGGTGCCGACGAGCCTTGCACAAGGTTTAGGTGTCAACTGGGGTTCCATGGGGTCTCACTCTTTGCCTCCGAAAAATGTTGTGCAGATGCTTAAGGACAACGGGATCAAGAAAGTGAAGCTTTTCGATGCTGAGCCTGATACCATGGAGGCCTTGGCTGGGTCGGGTATTCAGGTCATGGTTGGAATCCCCAATGAGAAGTTGGCAAAACTTGCTGATAGCTACAAAGAGGCTCAAGAATGGGTGAAACAAAATGTAACCAAATATCTTCATGATGGGGGCGTCAATATCAGGTTTGTATTTTTGCTTATGGGGTTTTAATAACATTTTGATAGAACCAAAAAGAAAGTTGATTTTGTTTTTTTTTTATTATAGAATTTACGGGTTGAACTTTGTTTCTTTGCGAAACCACCCAACAGGAGAATGGTGACTAGAGAGATCATATGCTAACTAAAAAATATTTACACTTTTACCATTATGCTAGAGCCACCAAATAATCTGTCATTAAATTAATGCATCAACACCTAGAGATGAAGCAGATATGGGTTTAGCTAAGTTGGCTAGAGCTGCTCCTTATTCTGCACCTAAGTTCGAATCCCCCTACCCGTAGTTTAGATTAGTTTAAAGTAGAATTTCGCTTGTATCAAAAAATCCTAAGGTTGAAAGGTATATGTTTAAGAGAATATGTAATTATAATTCAAGGAAATTAATTACTTGATATGCTTATAGTTGTTGTATTGTGTTGTAACTTAACTTTACAGGTATGTGGCTGTTGGGAACGAGCCGTACTTAACAAGTTACAATGGTACTTATGTGAAGACTACTTACCCGGCACTGAAAAACATTCAAAAGGCCCTTGATGAAGCTGGCTCTGGAGGCAAAGTCAAAGCCACAGTGCCCTTCAATGCTGATGTCTACGAATCTTCTTCAAACAAACCATCAGACGGGCGTTTCCGAAACGACATCAAGAGCAACATTGTGGAGATTCTCCGTTTACTTAACGACAATAAGACCCCATTTGTTGTCAACATCTACCCCTTCCTCAGTCTCTACCAGAGCTCTGATTTCCCTGAAGAATTCGCTTTCTTTGAAGGCGGTAGCGAGCCAGTTAAGGACAACAACATCGAATACAAAAATGTCTTTGATGCAAATTGTGACACGCTGATTTCTGCACTCAAAAAGGTTGGATTTGGCAACTTGGATATCATAATTGGGGAAGTAGGATGGCCTACTGATGGTGACAAAAATGCCAATGGGCAACTGGCAAAGAAGTTCTACGATGGCCTCCTCAAGAAACTGGCAACCGAAGATGGTACCCCTCTAAGGAAAAAGAAATTGGAAGTGTACCTCTTCGGTCTCTTCGATGAGAACCAGAAAAGCATTGCTCCGGGTGACTTTGAACGTCACTGGGGCATCTTTCGCTACGATGGACAGCCTAAGTTCCCGATGGACCTCAGCGGAAAAGGGCAAGGGAACAATTTGCTTAAAGGAGTGCAAGGAGTGCAGTACTTGGACCAGCAGTGGTGCGTGCTGAAGAGCGACGTTAGAAACTTGAGCAACACGCACCCGGAAGTCAGCTACGCTTGCTCGATGTCGGATTGCACAAGCTTGGGGGTTGGAAGGTCGTGCGACTTGGATCAACATGGGAATGTCTCTTATGCTTTCAACGCATTCTTCCAAACTAAAGACCAAGATGTTAGGGCATGCGATTTCAATGGGATGGCTGCCATTGTCAAACAAAATGCCTCAAGGGGAGATTGCCTGTTCGCGATCCAAATTTTAAATGCCGGAGTGAGGCCCGAATTGAGCATCTTTGCAGGATTATTCTTGATCCTGATGAGCTTCTTCACCTTAATGTAAGAGAATTAGTACAACTACATATACTTATATGTAATTTATATACTTACTAGCCCCTTTGAGTGTGTGCCAATTGGGTTTTTGTTTTTTTGTTTTTTGTTTTTTGTTTTTTTATAAATTTTTTTTAAGAAAACATGGTAGTTGTGTTGTGTTGTGTTGTGTTGCATAAAAATAGGACCTATTATAGTCTAAACTAAGGGGACGGGGATTTCTCACACACACACTACTATGATGTCATGTGATTCGAACTTGAGATCTCTAATCTGCAGATTAAGGCCATTTTCCACTAGACTAGCTAGACCCCATTGATTAATAATTTCAATTATTAATGTTCAAGTACAAGAACATTCTTAATTTCCCTAGTTTTTTTTCATAGAGCATTTTTATAATTTATTAATTTATGCAAAAGATTAATGCACGTCCCTTATCAACTCACTTGATCCTTAATTATAATTTTGATTAATTAATAAGTTTAAAATAATGGTCTGTTTTATTTTACATACAAGAATTTCTCCCATCTTTCTTCTTCGCAACTCACAAACGAACCACCTAAATTTTAGACCCTACTTTTAAGGGTCACTAACAACAACTAATTTCCAAGAGCTTTGACTACTAGAAATGTGTACCACCCAGAAATGAATTAGAAAAAGATAAGAATGTGAGGAAAAAAAGTTGACCCCTTGTATGCGTATATCAACTAAAATTGCGTACGTACGTTCAACGCTTCCTTTCGTGTGTAGAAATAAGAGGCCTTCTCCCCAACCCATCTTCTTAATTGACTCCATTGCAGAAAGGAAAAGACCAAGAAAATACCATTGTCAAACTCTTCATTTCTTCAAATCCAAGCAACCTCCCAATTCTCTGATTCATAAGCCTAGCCTAACTAAATATATAGCACGTCCAACAACTGTTGTTTAAGGTGTCTTCTGGGCAACTCATCGCCATATCCGTCGATCCATCGAGACATGTTTCTGGCATGGGTCCTTTTCATAATGTTGGCGGCGTCAACGGACCTTGTACGAGGCCTAGGTGTCAACTGGGGGCAAATGTCGTCACACCCTTTGCCTCCCACGGACGTTGTTAAGATGCTCAAGGTCAATGGCATCAAGAAGGTGAAGCTTTTCGACGCCGATCCTACGACCATGAAAGCCTTGGCCGGGTCTGGTATGGATGTCATGGTTGGAATTCCCAATGAAAAATTGGACAAACTTTCTCATGATTACGAACTTGCCCAAAAATGGGTGAAAGAAAATGTCACTGAATATCTTAACGAAGGGGGCGTTAGTATCAGGTTTGCAATTTTTTTTTGTCTAGTGAATATTTTCTGTTTAAAGACATGTAGTTCAAAAGAAAAAATTATGGTTTTGTTATGATAATGTTTTTTATTTTTTTTTGTTATGGTAAGGTGGTAAACAAAAATATACATATTACATAAAAGTTTTCTTGCCAGACTATATATATGCCAAGACTGAAATTGGACCACTTGATCATGTTTATTTTTACTAGATTGATTGGTCCATAATCACAGTTCAACAACATAAGCATTATATATATGATGCACAACATAAGTCCCGACTCATGTTAACACGGATTATCATATAGAATTCAAAAGAACTTTTTGTTTTTAGAAAACCTAATTTCAAGACTCAAAGCGAGATATTGGTGTCTTACATAAAAACAAATTGCGAAAGAATTAGCGGGACCTAATAATTTTGATTAAAGACAGAAATTTCAAAATGAAAGAAAAAAGGAAAAGGTAGCTAGCATGCTATTCTGCATCTCTTTAATTTTTCAAAATGAAACTGACTTTATCCTTTCTTGTTTAATTTTTGGGTGTGTGTTTTGAACTTCTACAGCTATGTCGCTGTTGGGAACGAGCCATTCTTATCAAGTTACAATGGCAGTTATGTTAAGACTCTTTTCCCATCAGTGAAAAACATTCAAAGAGCCCTAGATGAGGCTGGCGTCGGACGAAAAATCAAATGCGTAGTGCCCTTCAATGCCGATGTTTACGAATCCCCTTCGAACAAACCGTCAGACGGGCGTTTCCGAAAAGACATTATGAAACATATCATGGAGATACTACACTTCCTTCGTGCCAGGAAGGCCCCATTTGTTGTGAACATCTACCCCTTCCTTAGTCTCTACCAAAGCTCTGGTTTTCCCCAAGAATTCGCTTTCTTCGACAATGGTAGCCCGATTAGAGATAAGGGTGCTCAATACAGCAATGTGTTTGATGCAAATTATGACACACTTCTTTGGGCACTTAAAAAGGTAGGTGTTGCTGACTTGGACATTGTAATTGGGGAAGTAGGATGGCCTACCGATGGCAACGGTTATTGTAATAACAGATTGGCTAAGAAGTTTTATGACGGTCTCCTAAAGAAACTAGCAAGCGAAGAGGGAACCCCTCTGAGGAAAGGCTACTTGGAAGTGTACCTATTCGGGCTTTTCGACGAGGATCAGAAAAGCATTGCTCCAGGGGACTTTGAGCGGCACTGGGGCATTTTTCGATACGATGGCAAGCCTAAGTTCCCCATGGACCTTGCCGGCCAAATGTCGGGACACCAGATGCTAAAAGGTGTTGAGGGAGTGAAGTACTTGGAAAGGCAATGGTGTGTGTTGAATAGTGATGTGAGGAACTTGAGCAGAGCTCAAGTGGAACTCAACTATGCTTGCTCACTGGCGGATTGCACAAGCTTGGGGAAGCAGAGGTCTTGTGACTTGGAACTGCATGATAGAATCTCTTATGCCTTCAATGAGTTCTACCAAAATAAAGACCAAGATATAAGGTCATGTAATTTTAATGGGATGGGGACTAAGGTGACACAAGATCCCTCAATAGGAGATTGCATATTCCGGGTGCAGGTTGCTTTAAGTGCCGGAGAGAGGCGGCACGCCTTGAGTAATGCCTTGAGTGTCTTTGCACCACTATTTTTCGTCATGAGCTTCTTCACACTGTTGTAAGATAGTGTGTATAGCTTATGGAATTCATTCTTGTGGGGCTTTTTTTCTTCTTTATTTTGAGGACCTATATGTACTTTTAATAATTTATGTTAGTCTCTCATTAATTTTACCTTTAGATCATGTTGTTTTTACCTATCGCATTTTGCGAGGAGATTAGGATATTTACCATTTTAAAGTTAGTTATTTACCATTTTACCTATCTCTTTAAAGTTTTCCTTTTAACTGTTTGCACAACCTCATGGATACTTTTTTTTCTAGTCATTCACTAGGGATGGGAGGGAGAATTATATTGGGTTGCCTTAAGGTTATCTTCTACATCAAACCCGGATGTACTTATGGGGACGGAGAGAGTTTGGCCCACTTTCCCACTGTGGTGTCACCCCATGTGCCATGGATAAATTATTTGACAATTACGATTCTAACTGACTTGTAAAAGTCTTATATCATGGTAATATTTTTTTTATTATTTATAATGCATATATTGCGTAAAAGAGAGTTCTCGTTGCGCGATTCTGCCACTAAAGGGAACTGTTGCTTAAGAGATTTAAAACTATGTAAAGTAGTCTGATCTATCATGCATATTGGATTAGGATGGCTGGTTCAAGCTACACGGTTTGGAGGGCTGGTTTGGGGCGAGGGGGGTTTTTATATTTTCAAATAATATTCTAAACTATAAAGGGGATAAGGATGAGGGTTTCTCACACACACACTACCAAGATGTCATCAAAGACGTTTATTGAAAAGAAACAATCAACTCAAAAAAAAAAACCCCAAATGTTGCTCAAAGCTCTTCTCCATTTTTATTGCCCTTTCTCTCTTTATTAGGAATCATGTAACATATCACCAAGTTTTTTTTTCTTGGTTCATTTCAAAAATCTTGAGCATCATCCAATTTGACCATTCATCAATTATATCACCAAGTTATTTGTTGTTTGCAAAGATCGTGGGCTCCACCCTAATCATCCACAAACTCACAAAGAGTTTATGAGCTTACTCGCCAAGCTTATGCTGCCGAAAGGTATTCATTCCTCGGCCATTCTCATTCTCACTTCCATTCTCAACTTCCTTCTCAATCCTATCTTCGCTATCATTCTCACTTCCATTCTCTTCTTTTTTCTCTGTACTCTAGCGTACAAAAAAAGAAAACTAAAAACTAAAATTCAAATGATTTATCAAACGGGCCCTTAATTAAGCAATTCCATAGGTCTTTAAAGATACCGTCAAAGGGGTTTAGTCCAGTAGAAAATGGTCTTAACTTGCAGAATAGTGGTCTCATGTTCAAATCCCCATGACACCTTGGTAGTGTGTGTGTGTGATAAAAGGGAACCTTCATCAAAGAAAATCACTTCATCATCAACGCAATCATCTGCAATCTTTCACCAAAGTCAACCTCTTGATTTCTGCCTTCCTGTCATAGCTGATCTGGATTGATTCTCTACATCAATCTTATTGTATTCACCTTGTTTAGACATTATCAATGTGTATATAATAGTCAGCCCGTGTATCAGTAATCAATCAATGAAATATACCATTCATTCTTAATCTCTTTATGTGAAATCTTATTCCCCTTATAGTTTAGATTATCGCTTGAATTCAAAAAAATACTAAAGATACCGTTAGTGGTGCAAGAATCAAAACAGAGTATGTCTTTGAAAGGTAAGAAAAATGAAAAACAAGTAATCAGAGCAATCAAGTGGATCCAATATATCTGAGAGACCATTGTGCTGGAATTAGAGTGAACCAATGAGCTTAAGAACCAGAGAAGTGCATGAAGTTTTCGTCACCTCAAACTGATTTCAAGCGATAATATTGGGTTTCGTTGCCCCAATTATCGTCGGCCAAAAATAGTTTTTCTTGTAGTGCTGGTACAGGTACACAAATACTACTTTCCCTTGTAAATGTAATGTAGGTTAACCTCTTATATTTATTTGATGTTAGGTTGTGAATGAATGAACGAAAATTATAAACTGATTTGTGAGGCTATGGTTCCCTTGGAATTAGGCATGAAAATTTAAATTCATGCCAGTCTTGCCAGATGCGGTAATAGGAAAATTTCCTATAAAAAAACACATGCTTAGCAACACAAACAAAAAATTTAGGTTCCTTACATTAAAAATTGAATTTTATATCCATCATTTATA